CCCTGGCCTACCTGGGCTGGTGGATGGAGACGGGATTGGCCTGCCTGGAGCTTTTCATGTTGGAAATATCTTTATTATTGCTCTGACCTTGGCTTTATATACCCATTTAGGTTGTTTATATTTTCTTGATTAAATTTTGGTGGGTCATTTATGTGTTTTCAAAAGTACTCCCTAATTTTATTGATATCTTCTTTAATGCCCCCTTTTCATCTGTAATTTTATAAATTTAGGGCTGATCTTTCTCTGGACAAAGTTATCAAAGGGTTAATTGATCTTGTTTATTTGGTATTTCAAAGAACCAGTCCTCTTTTTTTAATGCCTTCTTTCTATTCTTTTGATTTCTGTTTCATTAAATTTCTGCCCCAATCTTTTCTTTCTCCCCATTACTGCTCTTGGGTCTGTCTTGTTCTTGTTTTATTAAGACCTTTGTGTGCATCATTGAATGCTTGTGGTCACTCTAAGTTTTCAGTGTAATCTCTCACATTTATTTTGTCTTTCCTCTTAGAACTTCTTATGTTGTTGTTTTTGTTTTCATTTAATTCTAAGATTGGAACTTTTTTTTATTTTATGTATATGGGTGTGTTATCTACATATGTGTCTCTGTAACCACAAAGGTCCAGAAAAGGGTAACAGAGCTCCTCTTGGACTGGAGTTACATGTGGTTATGAGCATGTGTGTACTGGGAATAGAACATGGGTATTCTGGAAGACCAGCTAGTGCTCTTAACTGCTGAGCCATTTCCCCAGCCCCAGTTTAGAATTTGATTGTGTTGTCTATAACCCACTGGTCATTCAGAAGCATGTTGTGCAGTCCCCATTTATTTGCATAGTCTCTGCCATTTCTCTTGTTATTGGTTTGCAGCTTTATTCAATTATAATTTGATAAGATGAAAACAATTATTTCTTTTTTTATATATTTGTAGAGACTCACATTATGACCTAAAATATGATTTATGTTAAAGAGGGTTTCTTGGGCTGCTCAGAAGAATGTGAAAAAAAAGATTAATATTCTATAGTTGTTCATTTGACATATAGTGTAGATACTGACATTTCTTTATGGGCTTTTAGTATTGATGGCCTCTCTAAAGATAAGTAATACATGAAGCTATCCCCATTATTTACCAGGACCCACTTGTCCTTTTATGTCTGTTAATGTTTGTTGTATACATTGAGAGCCTCCATATCTGATGCATGTGTAGCTTCAATTATTCTGTCTTCTTGGTTAATTGTTCCCTTCATTGATATGTACTGAAGTGCTTTATCACTTCTGATTGATTCTGGCTTGAAGTCTGTCTTATTCAATACAAGTGTAGCTAGGCCAGCTTCTTTGGGGCTTCCATTTGCTGGGTACCCAATTCTTATCCTTCCACTCTCACCCGTGTCTTTACCAGTGAGGTGTGTTTCTTTTAGACTACATATAAGTCAATCGTAGTCTTTAATCCAAACAGCTAATACAGACCTTTAAATTGTAGAGTTAAGACCATTTACATTTAGGTTTACTACATAGAGTTTCCTAATTTCTGTCATTTCATTGGTTGTTTTACCAGCTGATTGTGTTGTTGTTTGTTATTTTCTTTCTCCCCTATACCAATTAAGGGTTTGAGGGTTGACTAATTTGGTTATGATTGATCATTGCCTATTTTGTCTTCATTCATCTGTTTCTGTCATAAATGTATTCCTTCCTGTGTTATGGTGGCTGATCCTGTATTCCTTCTCTATGATTTAAATTCAGATATATTATGCAATGCTGGCTTGTTGGTAATGAATTTCTTTAAGTTGTGTAGGTATTGCAAGAGCAGCAAGTTCTCTTAATTGCTTAACCACTTCTCTTGTCCCAATTCCTACATTCCTTATTATTAATCTTTAAAAAGTTTTATGCATATTTCTGTTAGATGTATATGTGTACATGTGTGAATAGAGGCCAGAGGTCAACATCTTTTAAGTGTATTCTTCAATTTGTGTCCATCTCATCTTTTAAGACAGGGTCTTTTACTGAACCTGATGCTCAACAATTGGCTAGACTGTCTGGCTGGAAAACTCTAGGAACCTTCCTGTCTCCATCATCCTATGCTCTGCTACCAATGCATGCAACCATACCCAGCTTTATTGAATGGGTCCTGAGGATCCAACCTCTGGTCCTCGTACTTTTGTGGCAAGCATTGTGACTAATTTAACTCTCCATTTAGCTTAATCCACATTTGTGTTTGATTTTCTCTATCTTCTTATGATAGCATCTTTAGAATTGATCTCAATACTTAATACTGTATACAGCAAGCATTTAAAGCAATTTTAAATACTGTGTTACCAGTTTCCACAAATTTTGGTGTTTTGATTTTATTACTTCAACCCAGTACACTTAATTCCTTTTGATTTCATAAGCTGGGTAAAAATGTGGTGGTTATATCTATGGACATTTCCCATATTCATTTTTGCTCTCTCTTTAATTTATTAGTATTTTTGGTTATTTAAGATGCACCACAAAGTATCTGCTCATTATTTCAAATAACTCTAATTATGTTATGGCCAGAGGGTATATTCTGCATGATTTTATTCCTTTAAAATTTATTGAAACTTGATTTATGTCTTTGCATTATAGACAAATAAATATTACATGTATAATCAAAAGAACATTATTTCTATGGTTGTAAATTGTTTTATATGTCAATTATATTAACTTAATTAGTAAGTGTTGTCTTGGTCTTCTGTACACTGATTAACTTTCTCTTGTTTTATGAATTATTCAGAGAAGGATTTTTAGTTCTGTAGGTAAAGTTATTTAGTGGTTTAGTTTGGTCTTTTTGAGAAAGGCTTTCACTTGGTAGCTCAGGATAGCTTGGAAATCACTGTTTCCCAAGATAACTTTGCGCTGAGGCCGAACTCTTGCCTCATTTTCTCAATTGCTGAGATTGTAGGTAGGAGACATCACCCCTAGCTGAATTTTTAGTTTTCTCGTCTTGCATTTTTCTTGTTGGATTTAGCTCAATAAACATATAATTTTGTTTTTGTTTTTGTTTTTTAGTGTATTGATCTTATGTATCTTCATAAAATCTACTTCTTCTCTTTGGACATTTTTCTTAGGCAAAAAAAATCCATTTGTCTTACATTAATATAGCCATCCTAATTCTCATATCATTGATGTTTATGTGTCATAACATTTTCATGATTTATGTCCTTGAATTTATAAGATGCTCTCTTGGCAACTTTGTATGCCTAGCTTTTTAATCCATCTCTGACTGTGATTAGGGGATTTCCCCATTCATATGTAAATGACACAGTTGGCTTTAGGTCTGCTCTTTTCATGGCTGTATGTTATTTAGTGTTCTTTCAGTTCTTTATTGTTTTCCTTTTATGCTTATCAAATCTTGATTTTTTTCTTTATTAGCTTTTAGCTACAGTTCATTAATTTTCTTCCTACGATTTATTTGCAATACAGATTGCAGTAAGAATCTTTTTATGTATAGTGATTTACTTTGAGTTAGTACTTGATTTAATCCCAGTGAAACAACAATTTTCCTTCTCCTATATACCACCATTTCCCCCTGACTGTCAATAATTGTGAGGTATCTGAGAGTATATCCAGTTTGGATGGCCTCGGTTAAGCCTGAAGAAGTTTAACTGGAGTAACAGAAGGTGTGAGGTTCCTGGGTGAGAAACAAGCATGAAGGGTTTATTGTTGGTAGAAATAGCATTACCAAGAGCATCTCCACATGCACTTTTTCCTCAAGCCCTAAATGGCACAAGACAGCATAAAAGGCAAAGTGTGATGCATTTCACTAAAACAACACTCACAGACGGCTGCCAGGATAGTGATACCACACCTGTATGGTGTAGAGTAGATTTCATGGTCCCATGAGTTTGGAAAATTATACAGCTGTGTTTATATATATCTGCAATGTTGCTTGCATATTAATAGCTCTAGGAAGCTTACCCAAAAGAAATATTAATTTTCTTTAATAATTTGACCACAGAATAATCATTTTCAAATTTTTGTTTTAATAACCTACAGAGGTAGCATTTGATATTAGTTACTTGGCAAAATGTAATCTGACAAATACTGGTCTATGAAACAACAGAAATAAGGGGCTGGAGAGATGGCTCACTAGTTAAGAGCACTCACTACTCTTCCAGAGGTCCTGAGTTCAATTCCCAGCAACCACATGGTGGCTCACAACCATCTGCACTGAGATCTGGTGCCCTCTTCTGGTGTGCAAGCATGCATGTAGATAACTGTAAAAATAATAAATGAATAAAATCTTTAAAAAAAACAGAAATAAAATAGAGGCCACTCATTCGTTAGGATTTATTTTTATTGTTTTTTTAATTAGGTGTAGGCGTGTCTACTTGTGGGTATGTGCATGCAAGCACAGATGCTCATGGGGGCAGTGGGGTGGGATCTCACTGTAGCTGGAACTGACTAACATGGGTTGGGTGCTGAGAACTGAACTTGAGTCCTCTAGAAGAGCAGCAAGTGCTCTTAATCACTGAGCTGTTGCTCCAGCCCCAAGGCTACCTATATTTAAATTAGCATTAAGAAACACTGTATTGGGGGCCAGAGATTGACCCATTCAGTAAAGGGCTTGCCATTCAAACACAGAGAACTATGTTTGATTCCCAATACCTGTGAAATAATCCAGTAGTAATGTGTGCCTAGAATCCTGGCACTGAAGAGGCAGAAACAGGATCCCTGGAGTACACTGGCCAGTTAGCCTTGCCTAATTAATGAGCTCCAGGTTCAGTCTCAAAACATAAGGGTGAAAGCAATAAAGATACCTTTGGCCCCTACACACATATGCATGCATGAATATGTACACACCTGTGTGCCACACATGTACACACACACAGAGATACGCACACACAAATATAATCTTTGTGGAATTGAAAGTAAAGCTAATGTCATCATCAATTTCCTATAAACTTATTTAATGCTCTTCTGTTTTGTTCAATGATGAAAGTCAAGTATACTGTGATACATTTATTGGTACCTTTTATTTCTGTTTGTAGGGGATGTAATCAACCTTGGCGACAGACAGCTGACTGTTATGCACATGCCAGGTCACTCCAGAGGCAGTATTTGCTTACATGACAAAGACCGGAAGGTTCTCTTCAGTGGTGATGTGGTATATGATGGATCGCTGATTGACTGGCTCCCGTACAGCAGGATAAGTGACTATGTCGGAACTTGTGAACGTCTCATAGAGTTAGTGGACACAGGTCTTGTGGAGAAGGTGCTTCCTGGGCACTTCAATACCTTTGGTGCTGAAAGGCTTTTTCGTTTAGCATCTAACTATATTTCAAAAGCTGGAATATGCCACAAAGTATCTACTTTTGCCATGAGGTCTCTTGCAAGTTTAGCCCTCCGTGTAACAAATTCTAGGACCTCACCCTAGTATCTGTACTGATCATTTGCTGGCATTAACTGTGTAGATTAACCCAGTTCCCTTGTGTTGTTTAAAACGGTAACTAGTGAGCATTTCAAAAAGTGCTTTTATATAATCATATTGTATAATAGAGAAGAAGAGAATCAAGAATGAGGAAGCCAAAAAAAAAAAAAAAAAAGAAAGAAAAGAAAAGAAAAAAACAAGCAGTCTTTGCTTTGTATGTTTTTTTGTTTCCCAAGGAAGAAGCCACTTAAATGAGCTTGTAGTTGACCAGTGCTGTCATTTCAGTGTTTGCTTTGGAAATGCTGTGGGGTGATGTAGGCAGCAAGGATACACCCACTGCAGCACAAAGACCTGCCCTTGCTCCTCCTCAGTGTACTTCCCAGGATGCCCAGGCGGACTCAAATGCAGTTCTATGCTTGCGCTTCATACTTGGTTTTATTTCTGTATTTTATGTAAAGATAAAGTTTCTTAGATTCAAAAACAAAGTAGACCTCAATATAAATTTGCATTTAGAATGACAGCTAAAACATCCCATATTTGTGATACTGGATTTTATGCCTCCTTTTTTATTTTTCTTATTCTTTGTATAAGACATAACATGCTATATAATTTAATGTATGAACAGTGCAATGAATTTTTGTCTTATTGCAAAGCTTTAAATATAAATTGCAGAGTGCTTCAATAAAACACTACTGTTTGTTATTGTGTAAGTAATATTTTCAGTCATGAAAGTGAAATTCAAACGTGTGTAACCTAACTTCAGATTGTCAGATTTCTTAAAAGGACACTGTCAGGCAAATTTGAAAATATACACATTGAGAATAATATTTTATTATATCCTATTTTAGTATTAATAGCTATTATAAACAAAATTTTCTGATTAAATAGCAACTTCAGTATTCTGTCATGTTTCACAGTACCAAAACAATTCCTGATGTCTCTGACATCTTAATGTAAACTATTGTTTTGATTGATACAACATGTATACATACCACAGAAGGATTTTTAAATTAATTGCAATGTATGTGTTATGTATTGATAGAACAAATGGCCTTCTTATTATCCTGATTCACAACACCTGTCCCTGCTCAGTATTCTTTGTCATGAACAAAAACAAGTCTATGTTTGTATGTCATAGAAAACATGAAAACACTATTCTGTGATACTAGGTAAAGTATTTGGGTTTGGTGCTTTTAATAATAATTTATCAAAAAGTCTTTTGAAGTATTTCATAAAAGTTTTTAAAACAGTTTACCACTACCTTTTTATTATTGACATTTTATTATTGACATTTTATTATTGATATTCTAGACCAAACAGATCAACTTTTGGAAATCAGATTGTTTAATATTGGGAAAAAATAGCAGTTCTTGTTTTGTGTCAAGTTATGTAACTTTTTACCCTTCAAACACCCAGGTTATTTAATTTTTTTATTCTTTCAGTAGGCACATGTGTACAAGTGTGAGTGCACACACATACACATACAGGCATACACACAGTCACACACATACATACACAGCACTGTGCTAAACAATATAGGGGGTTTGAAAGTGAGAAAATACATTATAGCTGAATGTTAAAGTCCACAACCCCCCCCAAAATAATATAGGTAAGTTGAAGTTAATATAAATGATGCTTAAATGTAAAGGATATAAGGAAGGGTGTGAAATAGGGGAAGGGGAAATGCCCTGGAAAGGGGGGTGGGGGTTGAGTCAGACTTGGAGAGAGGCTGGGGAAGACGTGAGCCTCAGGCTTCAAAAATTGCTGAATGGACTAGCCTATTCTTCATGACCATATAAATTTAACTTTCTGAAATCTCATTTCTTCTAAGTACCTTGTATTTAGCATGACAAAGATGGGTCTGTGATAGTATATGTGATTGTATCTGTATATATTCTTAGAGGCAGATGTACTGAGCGATCACATTCCACCATGTAAACCTTTGCTGAGAGTCAGAAAGGAGTCCATGACTGGCTCAGATATACATTGTCATGAGTAGACTGTCTGTCATGGTTCTTCAAGATGGTGGGTCTGTTTCAACTGATGACACAGTACTGAGAAAAGAGATTGGTTCAGGGCAACTATAATCACTTAGTAAGCCTTAAATATAGCCATTATTTTTGTATCAGCAGCACAAAATAAAGCCAAAAGTCCTTAATCATTGACTGTTTTATCATATTTTAGTATTTGTTTAAGATCAGGAGAGAGTAGGCATTAAGTTTTATTAGGAAAAATTTATTCCAGATGAGATATTTCCCTATTTATTAAAAGTGCAATTTTCAGTATAAGTTGTTATTTTTGTTGATTTCCCCAATCTTTCAATTTTTTCAATGGAAGATTGTGATATTCCAGTATTGTTGCCATATGGAAGTAAATTCATACTCATTTAGTATTCATGATACATTTTAAATTTGCATCCTAGTTCTAGCACCAAGAGATAATTGACTAGTGTCATATACAACATGGACTAGGAACAAAGCTAGTAACTGAACACAGGTTTGCCTGCTACCAAACTGTGCCCTCTCTTAAACCTGCACAATCTATAGAATTGACCACATATATTTTTTACTTTCCAACATGTCATATATGGGAAGAACAAATCAAACAATATCAAATCCTAATAGCATTTTTAGAATATAAAAAAGATATATTTTCACCCTGACAGTGACCCTTGATTTATGATTTTTGGAAATAGACTATTGTGAATGTAACTCAAAGTTGTCAAAATGTTAGACATTTCAAAAAAATTTTCTTATTTATATTGCTAATAATGAACTCGTAGACTTTCACTTTCTTTGCTTAATTAATGTCTCCTTTTAAGTGAAAAGCTTAAAACAAACTGAAACCTTGTGTGCTATGCTGATGTAGTTGAATAAATGGTTATGTATATTTGTTCTTATATGGATAGTAATATGAATGTGACATGCACAAATTGTCCTATAATTTTCCAATAAGTATATGTAAACATTGGTGTGATAACTATTAAAGTGGCCGTTTATTTCAGTGTACAAGTAGTGTTTATGTTTATTAAAACAAGTGTCTTTTACATGTCAATCTCAGTTCCCTCTCCCTCCCCTTCTCCCCTGCCCCCCACCCCTATCCTGCTCCCCAGGGAGGTTGAGGCCTTCCATGGGGGAGTCTTAAAAGTCTGTCATAAAATTTGGAGGGGCAAAAACCCATATGTGTAGGCTGAGAAGAGTATCACTCTATGTGGAGTAGGCTCCCAAAGTTCATTTATGTACTAGGGGTAAATACTGATCCATTACCAGAGGCACCATAGACTGCCCAGACCTCCAAACTAACTTCCTCATTCAGGGGGTCTGGAACAGTCCTATGCTGGTTTCCCAGCTATCAGTCTGGGGTACATAAGCAACCCCTTGTTCAGGTCAGCTGTTTCTGTGGGTTGCTCCAGCCTGGTCTTGACACCTTTGTTTATCATTCCTCCCTCTCTGCAACTGGATTCCAGAGTTCAGTTCAGTGTTTAGCTGTGGGTGTCTGCTTCTGCTTCCATCAGCTACTGGATGAAGGCTCTGAGATGGCATATAAGGTATTCATTAATCTCATTATCAGAGAAGGACATTTAAGGTAGCCTCTCCTCTGTTGCTTTGATTGTTAGTAGGGGTCAAATTTGTAGATCCCCGGACATTTCCCTAGTGTAAATTTCTCTTTAAACTTATAATGGCTCCCTCTATTATGGAATCTCTTTTCTTGCTCTCCTCTATTCTTCCCATGACTAAATCTTCCTGCTCTCTGATGTCCTCCTCTCCCTTCTTCTTCTCCCCTTCCCTTTCTTCTAGCTACAAGTGGTGTTTTCTATATAACATTAACAAATTTCTTTTTAATATCTTAGAAAATATACTATGTGAAATTTTGTTTTACTAAGTGAAAGTTTCAGAAGTTCATATCAAATAAGTCTGGGAAAAACAATACAGAATTCAGAAGAAGCAAAACACCTGCTTAGTACTTAGTACTTCATCAATGAGAATTTTAATCAGTGGATTCATTACCATTTCAGTTTCTCCTATGGGAGACAAAGGTTCATGCCATCATAAAAATGAATCCCAAGTTGATTGAAAATGTGGAAGTGTAAGCCAAAACCACACATGTATGCAATAGAAGAGAGGGGCTGTATTACATTAAAGACAAACAATCACAACAAAATCTTCAATGACTCAAAATTATATGTCATAAATAATGGAGGGGGAAGGAAAGGGAGAGAAGGATGAGGATGAGGAAGAAATAATTCACAACCTCTGTACTTCTTTAACAACACAAAAGAGTAAAAATCCTAAAAACATATAAAGAGTGCTTACAATTCAATAAAAAAAGTTAAGGTGCCCTAGGAAAGAAAACCTTTTCCTGTACCCTGTTTTTGGGTTCTGTAGCTGAGTTCAAGATTTAAGTCAAGAAAATTCTGATAAATAAAACCACAGACCATACCGTTTTATTTCATGTGAATGGGTTTGCGTATACAAAGCCCTTCATGTATAAGAAACAGAGGGGTGGAGAAATAGCTTAATGATTTAAGAGCTCTTCTGGAGGATCTGTCTTCAGTTCACAGCACCCATGCTGTGCAGCTCATAACCAGGTATAACTTGAGTTTTGGTGAGGGCTCTCTTGCCCTCTTTGGGGTTTTTAAGGCATCGGCAGCTCACTCACACAATCACATATATTTATACATAATTAAAAATAATTTTTAAAAATTTCTTATTTATGTATATGTATATACCACATGCATTTGGGTATTTATGGGAGGCTAGAAGAGGTCATCAGACCCCTGGAACTGGAGTTACAGGTGCTTGTGAGCTGTACTATGTGGGTGCTGAGAACTGAACACAGGTCCTCTAGAAAAGCAGCAAGTAATTCTAACCACTCAGCTTTCTTTCCAGTCTCCCAAAATAAAATAAATCTTAAAACATGGAGAAAATAAATGAAATCCCACAGAGAAAGCTAAGCTTCGGGCTTACAAACTGAACCAACAATGATGAGTCATGAAAGTATAGTAAAGACAAAGAACAAGAGAATTGGGCCAGAGAGGTCAAGTTGTGGGGACCTGATTTGGTGAATCTTAATACACATTTTATATGTATAAGGTGATTCATCTTCAAATGGACTATTTTTCTTTATATTTTGACACCTTTTATTGCATAAATTGCTCTGGTTAGATATACTAGTCTCATCTCTCCAACTGTGGGGGACAAGTTTTCAATGTTGGTGTAATCAAAAAAAATTTTTTTGGTTGAAATCTTCAATAAAACCCATTGGCTGTAAGTTCCATAGTCAAGATGCCTACAAATTGGGTTAGGGCTCATTTCATAGTTCCTAGACTGCTGCCTTCTTGCTGTGACTTCAAGGGTCAGAAGGTATAAGAGGGCTCTCTGTGTCCCTTTAATGAAAGAATCATTCACAGAGTCAGACCTTCATACTCTATTCAGCTACAAAAGGAAACATTTTCAAGTATCACCATATGTGGGATATGTTTCAATGTGAACTTAGAAACACATGAACATTTTGTTTATAACACAACTCTCTTGACTTTTCCATTTCTCTCACAGATATGCACAGTCAAACACCCAAGATATTCTGACTCACCTTTTAAAAAGCTAACAAGTTCATGATGTGACTTAATCTTCTGACTTCCTATTTCTAACTTCAGTTTTTCACCCCGGCTTTATCATATCAACTACAGAAGTGGTCTCTCTCTCTCTCTCTCTCTCTCTTTCTCTCTCTCTGTCTCTCTGCACTATTGCCAGAATGCTTTCTTTAAAACAATAATTGTGGGGTTTTTTTGGATGACAATGTCCCTCTCAAAGTTCATATATTTGAATGCTTGGTCCCCAGTTGGTGAGACTGTTTGGGAAAGATTAGGAGGTCAGGTCGTGTTGAAGGAGGTATGTCTCTGAAGGAAGTCTTTGAGATTTCAGAAGCCCATTCCATCCCCAGTTAGCTTCCTCTGCCTTCTGTTTGTGGATCAATATGTAAGCTTTCAGCTAGTGCCTTGGCACTATGCCTGCATACTTGCTTGCTGCCATGCTCCCAACCATAAGGCCTGTGAACCCTAACCCTTTGGAATCAAAGGGACTATGGAGGCCCAGCTGAAGGAGTTTCCTTTATTAACAACTGAGCTAGAGACCATTCTTGTGGTATTTTGGCAAAGAATATGTCTGCTTTCTGCCATTGTCCTAAGAATCTGTTGTGGCTAAATTGAAAAGTTTTGGACAAAGAGCCTAGTCTTGACTCTGTTGCATGGTTATTAGTAATCCATGTCATTCTACAAGGCAAAAATAATTACAAAATATACAGTTTGCAGAGAAAAAGATTATCTTAGAATCCAATGTTGATGATGTACTAGACCTCTGAAACTGTAAATATTAAATATTCTCCTTTATAAGAGTTGCCATGACCATGGTGTCTTCACAGGAATAGAAACCCTAAGAAAGACCTTAAAGTGAATATGAATAAATGCCTTAATGAAGACTATGAAAACACAATTTAACGCAGTAATAAAAATAGGCTGAACCAATGGCCCAGTGGTTAAGAGCACTGGCTGCTACTTTAGAGGTGGTGTCCAATTCCCAGCACCCAAATGTCAGCTCACAAGTGTCTGTAACTCCAGTTCCAGGGGATCCTTATCACCAGGCATTCATGTAGTGCACATATCTGTGCATGTAGGCAGAATACCCATATACATAAAATAAATCTTGACAAGAAGAAATAATGAAAACATTACAAGACATGAAAATAGAACCCAAAAATAAATAGAATCACTAAAGAAAACCCAAACAGAAATAAAACTGAAAATAAAAAAAACTGAGGATGCAAACAAAAGCTTCAGAACAGATTTAAACACATGGAATAGAGAATTTCAGACCTTGAAGACAAAATAAAAGAAATGGATATCTCAGACAAAGAAAGTGTTAAATCTAAAAGAAAAACCCTACAGGAACAAAATATTTAGGGAATCTGGGTCACTATGGAAAGATCAAGCTTATAAATAATGGATATAAGGTCATAGAACATATTTTAAACAAAATTATTGAAGAAAATCTCCCCATTCTAAAAAAAAAAAAAACTGCTTATGAAGGTACAAGAAGCATGCAGAACAGCAGGTAGACAGGATCAGAAGAGAAATTTTCCACAATAATAATCAAAACACTAATTATATAGAACAAAGAAAGGAAATGAAAAGGCTACAAGGAAAAAGACCCAGTCACACACAAAGGCAGGCCCATTATAATAGCACCTGACTTCTCAATGAAGACTCTGAAAGCCAGAAGGGCCTTGGCAGATGTCATAAAGGCTCCGAGAAGCCACAAATGCCAACCCAGACTCTCATACTTAACAAAACCATCAATCAAATCAGTGAAGAATCCGGGCAGTAGTGGTGCATGCCTTTAGTCCCAGCAATCACAAGGCAGAGGCAGGCGGATCTCTGTGAGTTCTAGACCAGCCTGTTCTACAAGAGCTAGTTCCAGGACAGCCTCCAAAGCCACAGAGAAACTCTATCTTGAAAAACCAAAATAACAAACAAACAAACAAACAAAACAAAACAAATCAATGAAGAAAAAAAAACCATTCAACTCAAAAACCAAATTTAAGCAATTTCTATATTCCAATTCAGTTCTACAGGCAACACTAGAAGGAAAACCAGTCTGAGGAGGTTAACCACACAAAAAAGGACACAAGGAATAAATAATTCATGAATAGTACATCAAAAGGAGTGAGAAATACCCAGAGCACAACCTCAAAATAACAAGAATCAATAAAAAAATGTCCATTGATAACTATGTTATTTGTCTCAATCCCCCCAATAAAAAGAGACTAACAGACCGGATTAGAAAACAGGGTCTAATTTTATGCTGCATGTAATACACCTCATTATCAAGAATAGACATCACTTTAGGGCAAAGGGGTAGAAAAGGGATTTCCAAGCAAAGGGGCCCAAAAAGCAATCAGGTATGGGTATTTTTTATTAAAAATAGATTCTTCTCTTATATAATATATCCCA